TGTAGTGGATTTTATTAATCCACACTCGTTAATTTTTACTCTCATTTCCACGTTTTCTAGAGCCTCTTGGAAAATAGCTTCTGAGTACAAATTGAATAGGAGTGGAGACAGCACGCAACCCTGTCGCACCCCCCTTCTAACTTGGGATTGGACATGGTATTGACCAATTTTATTTGTGCTGGTTGGTGCCAGTACAATTTTTCGATGCATTGAATGTCTTTTTGGTCTATATATCAAGCCTTTTGAGCAGCTGCATCAATTTGTGGTGTTGTACGCGATTGAATGCCTTTTCGTAGTCTATGAAACACGGGCAGATATCCTTTCTCTGATCGTACCAGTTCTGGACAAACACCTGTGTTGAAACTATAGCTATATATTATCTGCAATCAAGACCGTCTCGTCGGTGTAGCGGATTTTATTCATCCACACTCCGTTAATTTTTACTCCCATTTCCACGTCGCCTCTTGGAAAATAGCTTCTGAGTACAAATTGAATAGGAGTGGAGACAGCACGCAACCCTGTCGCACCCCCCTTCTAACTTGGGATTGGACATGGTATTGGCCAATTTTATTTGTGCTGTTTGGTGCCAGTACAATTTTTCGATGCATTGAATGTCTTTTTGGTCTATATATCAAGCCTTTTGAGCAGCTGCATCAATTTGTGGTGTTGTACGCGATCGAATGCCTTTTCGTAGAAACAATGAAACACAGGCACACTTTCTCTGATCGTAGCAGTTCTGGACAAACACCTGTGTTGAAACTATCACTTTCCTACCCCCGCTAACTGTACCTAACCCTTGCATGAATCCCATTTGTGAATCGCTTATATGTCCCTTTCACATTTTTTGTAAATTCTCTGGTGTATGATTCTCAGAAATATTTTTAGGGTATGGTTCATCAGGCTGATAAGTCTGTGATCTTTACATTTTCTTTCATTGGTCTTCTTAGGCAGGGGGATAAAAATAGAACTCAACCACTGTTTGGGATAGTGATCTGTCTCATGTATAGTGTTTTATACTTTATGTAGTGCTGTTATGCCTTTTTCATGCATCTAGGAGTTTAATGAGTTCTGTAGGAATTTCATCTGGGTCAGCCGCTTTTCTCGATATAAATTACTTGAAAGTATTACTTTTAAACCTTTATATATTATTTTGAACATTTAAAATTGTTTAAAAATTATTTGGGACGTTTGAAAAAAATAGCACATTCTATTCGGAGTAAAAATGACTCTTTGTGCCTTGCCTGTAATGTTAAACGTATATACAGCCTCGCCACAAGAAGTATACATTAGCGTAACCAGCAATTTATCTTGGGGTGGGTCTGGGGCTGGCCTGGGGTTGAGCCCAGGGGGGACTAGAGTTTTTGTTTTTTTAAAAATGAAAAATAATTTAAAAAAACACATTTTTTGAATAAAACCTTTTCATGAATTTCTCTATCAATAAATTTCATAGATTTGGTTATGAAACCGTCCCAACAAGCAAAATTTATTGCTGGAACATTACCAAAACTTCGCAAAGCAAGGTGTAACATTGCTTTTGTATTGTAGGGAGGTTTATGCAAGGTGGCAGGTTAGCTTAATCTTTCGCCAAATAACATTGCAGTGCAAGGTTGAAAAAAAATGTTGATGCAAGTTTATTGAACCCTTGTCACAACCTTGAGAGAAGATTTCACAATATTATTGAAACGTTGCTAATGTAACGTTCAAGAAAGTACTAATTTGAGATTTATTAGCAATATTGTTAATTTTACGTCAATATTGGTAAAATTATATTGTACCTATGTTTCAAAACTTATTGTCCATTAAACTTTGTGTTCCCGTAGATTACTTAAATACATACAATTTTTCTAAGAAAAATAAAAATTAACACATTTTTTGAACACAACAGAATAATATTAACTAAACAAAACTAGAAAACGTCATTTTTACTGCATCACAAACAAATAAAAATTAATACGTAGCCAAGAGTCATAATTCAGGATTTCTCTGGGGCCCGGCACCCCCAGGCACCCCTGTAGTTACGCCAATGAAGAAGTATCATTTTTACTCCTCATAAAACAATATACTATTTTTTCTTAAAACTTGAAATTTGCTGATGATTGCCATTTTGACAAAAATTTGCCATCTTGGTCTCTGATTTGCAAAGAGAAATTATATTTGGAAATCAAAAGTTTATTGTTTTATAAGCTAATTATTAGTTTTTCTCTAAACTCTATGGAACACAGATACAACTATACAGATGACTACCGCAAGCTGTTGCTATGCTAGTCTATTAATTTTAGTTGTATATTCTTAGATATTGTTGAATGACCGTAAGATTTTAAATATAAAGTGTAATTGAAACCACTAATTGATTCCACTAATTTGAACAAAACTTAAGTAAATTAATAACAATTAATAACATTAACAACAATATTGTCAAATATTGACGTTTTGTATATTTTAATATTATAGCGTTTTTTTATTTCAATGCAATGAAAAATAAAATGTGCGACAGAGTCCAGCTGTGTTTATCCAAAAAAGGGTTGCAAATGGTTCTACAGTTACCAAGCGCTTTTTTCTATTTTTTCTAATCGCGGAAAGGTTGAAATCCCACTCAGAACATATGTCCCGCAGGGAAGAGGGTGAACGATCTAATACTTTTGAGGAAACAGCATGTCTTGGCGTTTTTTGCTACCCCTTTCTTACCCACCCGAAATAAAATATAAGGGAATAGAAAAAAACGCTGTCTAGGTAGCGGCGTTTCCGTGTTCCCACAGGTTTTAAGTGATCCGGCATGAAAGAGTGAAAAGGGTTAATTAGGGAGCGGTTTTGACAGGATTTTATGGGAAAAATAAGAAATATTGAAGTGGGTAGGTATCTCGCACAGTCGTTTTTGAGTTAAGTAGTTTTTTAAAATGGTTTTGATTTATTTGCGGATGTTGTTTATATTTTGTTTAGGTAAAAACAATATATTTGTCAGGATATTAATTAGATGTTATCTTATTTTTCATATAACATTTTTTTTTCGCTTTTTTGTTAATGTTAATCTATATTTTCTTTGTAAAATTACTTATAATTTTTTCAGTGTATAATCGATCTCGATATACAGGGTGGTCCGAAGTGTATTCCGGAAATTTCGTTAGCATATTCTGCAGATAAAAATAAGTAAAAAGTTCGTATAAATGTATGTCCTAAAATGCTTAGTTTCGGATACACAGGCTGTAGAAAGTTCATTTTTATTTCGATTTTTTCCAAATAATTTCGGAAGTAACGTCAATATTTGGATGAAAATTGGTGTCTCGGAGTTTTTTGGCATGAGAAATTTGATTTTGATGTCAATATGACTCCTACTTGTAGAGGGCGCCACCTACATGTTTTTAACTGGTTTGAGGAGTAATATCTTATTGTCCGTACCTGTATAAAACTACTGAGTAAGAAAATATACATTTACGACGTTTTTTACGTAAAAAAGATTTCTTGGTAAAAATCGCTACGGGTCATGGTTATCGAGATATTTGGAATCAAAATTATCAAAACTTTTTATCATTGACACAAATAAACATGTTGAATGTTCACAGAATAGTTATTAGACTGGAATCATAAATTTGAAATGTTTTTGTGCCAAAAGTTCAACAGAAACTGTTTTATCCCAAATTTATCATTTCATGCCAATAACTATCTACTCATTATTATTACATTCTAAATATCTTGAGAATGATTGCTCGTAGCGAATATTAACGAGAGATATTTTTTACGTAAAAATCACGGAAATGTATATTTTTTACTCAGTAGGTTTATACAGGTACGGACGAAAAGTTATTACTCTTCAAAACAGTAGAAACACATGTAAGTGGCGCCCTCTACAAATATGAGTCATATTGACATCAAAATCAAATTTCTCATATCAAAAAACTGCCAGTCACCAATTTTCATTCAAATATTGACGTTACTTCAGAAATTATTTGGAAAAAATTGAAATAAAAATAAAACTTCTACACCCTGTATCTCTGAAACTACCAAAGCTTTCGGAATACAGTTCGGTGAGTTCGGACCACCCTGTATATTTTTTATGCCATTTTTTCAATATGTTAGTCGAAAATAACCGAGTTATTTTTTTTTCTTTGCAAATCTACTACCTACATATTATATTGCCATATTATCAAGAAATTATGTTTTTTGACTAAAAACTAAAAAAAATTCCAAACATTTTTTCAAAAAATTCCGAATTAATTTTTTATTCGTGAAAAAACCCTCGTAATCGTGTTTCTGGGTCGAAATGTACTACACCTAAAATACCTTATGATCGAGAAAAAACGGCGTTAGCGATATGGCTATATAAATGGCCATATAAATTTACATATAAAATGACAGCGATCTTCATTTCATAGCCATCGCTGACGCCGTTTTTTTTTTCGATCATACTGTATTTGAACGTATATTTAAAACACCCTGTATTAGAAACCGCGTTTTGATTTGGTTTGGTTTAGTTTGGTATAAAAAGTATAAACGGGTTTAACTGTTTTATAGAACAGGCAAATTTTTTATGAAACATGCATTTTTTTCAAAAAGGAATAATAATAAAGTTTTTCTTGTGAATTAAGATCTTAAATATTTCAAATTGTGGTATTAACTGCCATCTATGGAGTAGTAGTAGAACTAAGCTATCGCGATGCATGTAAATCGAAAAGGGAACTGAAGGCTGAATTTTTTATTCCAAGATTCGTCGATTCGTCATAGGTGGTGCAAATGAAGGTATAAAACATAATAAACAAGATCTAAAGAGTAATTATAGCCTTCCTGTTCTCTTACGTGTAAATATAGAAGGCTCCATGTATTTAACTGTATAATAATACAGATACAGTATAGATACCATAGTATGATATTTGTGATAATCGAATGGCGCTTGATCTCTACAGATTGGCGAATGCGCTAGGATAATTTCCAGGGAAATTATTAGGTACTTGTATGGCTTGAAAGATGGTGCTTGGTGCGGTGTTTGTTGTTAAACGTCAAACGTCAGACGTCAAATATCTAAATGTCAATATTTTTATGATTTTTTATTTACATTTTTCTGTGAGTATTGTGGGACCGGTTTGTTAGAAAACGTGAAAATAAGTAATCCTGGATTTTTTAGCGAAGATTAATGAAAGAGATACCAAAGGAACACTAAATTCAAAGGACATTTCAGCAGAAGTTTGTAATTTGGTAGGAAATCCAACCTATTGCCGGATTATTAAGGTATACATATAACAAAAAATTAACTTTAATTAGCATTTTCATTTATTAGTCAGGTATATAATTTAACGAATTAAAGTATTTACTTGGCTAGTTGTTTATATCTCAGCTGGAGAGTTTACAAACTATCGAAATGTCATGATATTTCTCAGGAATTTATATACTAAAATAGTTTCAAAATTGTTTTGTATACCTACTGTCCAGCTGGTTTATAAGCTACAACGTAAGCTACAGAGTTTTTTTAGCTAGTTTACGAATTGGTTACAGTATTTGGATAATAGATGTAACTTATTAATCTTAACAATACATAACTAATTTGTTGGTTAGTTTAGTTTAAAACATTGGGCTATAGAGGTTTCCTACAACTTTTTTTACATTGTTAGGCAGCTTTAAAAATGGAAAACCAAGAAAATACTTCGAAAAAGAGCAGAATAGACTTCAGCAGTCTTCCGACAAGACAGTACTTAGACCAGACAGTCGTACCAATCCTTATGAGCGCTTTGTCATATTTAGCAAAAGAAAGACCGCCAGAACCAATCAATGCTTTGGCAGAATATTTGATTAAAAACAAAATATCTTATGAAGCTGGTGGAGAAAAAATGACTGAAAATAATCAAGAAAGTAAGTGATAACGTTTGGAAAAAGATGGTTTAATAATGATCTTGATTCCTTGTATTTTTAAATGGAAACACAGTATGTTGAGTTAATAAAACTTTATAAAGTAATATTAAGATAGTTTTTCTATTATTATTATTATATAAATTTTGCAGATATAATAATGCAATCGTTATAACAATTGCTCGTAAAATGAGAGTATTCTGGAACATTCTGTATATAGATTTAAAAAAATAATATACAGTTTCTTTTCGATCGTCCATTAGTACTTTTTATTCTTAATCTAAGATTAGTACCACAAACTAAATTAGGTTAGTCTGTGTTAGTATCATAGAAACGGTATTTTCATGCCTTTTTTTCTCTCTAAAACGGTATAGAAGTTTAATAAGTATAAACGTGATTAACTGTTTTAGATATTCAAATATTTTTATAAAAAATGCATTTTTTCAAAATTTTAATAATAAAAAGGTTTTTCCCTTTTAGGGTTTTTTTTCTATAAAAAAAACCATTCGCCATTTTGTCAAGTAATAGCACAATAAATTCGTTATCATTCTATTTTTTTTATTTACAATTCTCAGTCACCATTTTGTCAAGAAATGAGAACTCCATCTATTTCTATAATTCTATAATATAATAAATGGTGTGCTACAAATGAAAAACCTTTTAGACCATCAATATAAAGTTAAAATTGTAGATGGATTAGATCAGGATTAGATAGCGACCACGCGCATATAACTGTAGAAATCTTTACTGTAGCTCATATTGACCGAGAAAAAGAGAATAAAGAAAGCTATGGAAAGACAAATAAATACTGGACTAGTTTGGCGCTTTACCAATAGATGGCCCTAGGGATACTAAATATAAATTAAAATTTATTTATGTGTGTTAAGAATAATAAAAGTTTACACTTTACAGTATATGTATATATTGATCAAATAATTAAAAGTTACTTATATCTCACTTATTTCCATCATTTAGTGAATGCCATTTAATTAAAAAAAAACGGCACTCTGAAATAATATACAGGGTTATTCACCCCATACGACACGGAGTAATGTAGCTAAACGATTAGATTTTTACAAATTGTAAAGTTTGGGTTCGTTGAAGGACCATTAGAGCTACAATTTAAAAATATTTTTACAAGATACAGAGTGTCCCATATCAAAGTTGTATTTTTTTAAATAGCAACCCCGTATATTATTTCATTTTTAGTTTCTATGATTAAAATAAATTTGATTAAGGTTTACCGCATTTTAATCTTACCGTTTTTGAAATATTTACGTTTTTGTCAAAATACAGTAACAATTTTAATGCTTCATTTCTCTAGGCGTATTTAAGTTTCTAAAATCAAATATAATATACTGAAGTTTTTCTATTTACTAAATTTTGTGTTGCAATAATAAAAAATTAAACTATGTACCATAAACAAAAGGAATTTATAATAATTATAAAAGGCCAATTTTTAAAAGTTTTAACATCCTGTAACTTTAGGAACTTTTTTTCATATTTTTTGATGAGGATTTAATGAGTACTTATTTAACATTTTGGCAAGTTCACAATTTTGACATGTTAATGACATTAAACATTTCTGAATGTTGCTATGGAATTGGAGTAAGGCAATAGGATATTGTGCAACTAGTGCGAAAAGTTGTAGATTGCCCATGAGAGCCAAGTTTCGCTCGAGTGGGCAATCGACAACTTCGGACGAGTTGCACATACTATTTTTTATTACGTATGCGGGGATAATTAGAGTAGTAATTTTAGTTAAAAAAAAAATAATGAAAAAGTTAAAAGATATTAAATAAATTTATTTTTAACAATTGTGAACGATTAAACACAAGGTAATCAATATAAGTAGTTTTACTGCCATTTAAATAAATTGTTAAGTTTGAACAATTGAAACATTTGCTCTTTTAAGAATTTCATGCGGTATAGACTCATCTTTTGGTGTTTCAAGAATTTCTGGCCATATAGATACATCATTATTACTTTCATCAGTTTCCGGAATCCAGTCGGGATTATTACTCATGTTTTTATTCTTTTAATTTTTATGTTAGCTTATTAAAACGCGAGTACAAAATAATTTATTTAAATGTCAACCTCACTTCTTTAATACTGACACTTCGAGACTGTCTTTTTTCATTAGCGTAACTAGCAATTTATCCTGGGATGGGCCTGGGGGGTGGGGGCCTGGGGTTGAGCCCAGGGGGGGCCTAGGGCTTTTGTTTTTTTAAATGAAAAATAATTTAAAAAAACACATTTTTTGAATAAAACGTTTACAAGAATTTCTCTATCAATAAATTTCATCGACTTGGTTATCAAACCGTGTTCCTGTAGATTACTTAAATACCTACAAATTTTCTAAAAAAATAAAAATTAATCCATTTTTTGAACACAACTAAATAATATTAACTAAACAAAACTAGAAACCGTCATTTTTACTGCATCACAAGCAAATAAAAATTAATACGTAGTCAAGAGTCATAATTTATGATTTCTCTTGGGGGTTCCCAGCAGTACCTGGGGGAGGCCCTGTAGTTACGCCAATGTTCTTTTTGCTTGTCAATATGCGTGTGCCAATGAAAATTTGCGTGTGAGAAGTTTACTTGTCGCACTCAAATCGACATTAAATTTGCTCAAAACTCGTGTGGTAATTGTGAAGTGGGCAATTAGCGTCTTTTCGACTCCAAAAGAAAGCGAAAAGATACTACTTTCCCCTCATGAGAAATAAAAATAAATTAAATTGCGTTAATCTCATCAAGGAGACCGAAATCTACAAAATATCTAGAGACAACCTTTAATCAGCATTTAATGGTCCACACAATATTGCTAACAAGAGAAAAAAAGTCAGTAGCGCACATATTTTTTTAGAAAACTATTCCAGTAATAATGCACGTCACTGGTGAATATGTCGACACTTTTTAGTATTAAAATATGTCGCACTTATAGTAAATTTTACTTTCAAAAATTTCATTCGAATAGCTAAAAGCACTTAGAAGAAAATTCTAATAAATCGAAAAAAAATGAAAACTTGTATGTATGAATGAAGAAGCCCCTGTAGCTACAAAACAAAGCAGAATCGGACCTGTGTTAATATGAAAGATAAATCTTATTTTTACGAGATGAATCTCCCCACGAGAGATGGCACATGTTTTTTTAACACCCTGTATTAGGGTTGAAATTAATGAAGAAAATACAGAAGGAAAACCATTAAGATTGAACATAATCGAGTTGCATACCTTTTGAAATTTATTAACTGTTTTTATAACAAAAACAAAAAAAAAATGTCTCTCATATACTGTTGAATTGTGGAAATAAAATAATAATAATTTCAGTGCAATAATAAAGTCTGTCCAATAGGTCAAGAAGGATTTCGACAGTCAATGAAATACAGAAATGAAAAAAATATAAGTTGCCTGTCAATTACACTGACAGACACAACTGTCATTGTGAGGGATTCTCATCCTGTTGGGCAGTCTCATAAGCGAGCTCATAAGTCTTTTATCTATGGACAGTCTATACTCAGGCTTCTTTCATGAAATACAAATGCATTTAAAAACACCAGTTTTTATAAAATAGATTTTCTGTGCATTGATGACGATTCAAACGTTGGAAAACATTCTATGGCAAGTGAGAGTCAATATTGAGAGTCAAGAGGCAAATGAAAGTCAATATTGGGCTTTAAGAAAATAATCATTTAGTCACACAGTCTACTAAAAGAAAGAGCAATTATTGATAAACTCCAGATTTTTTAAAATTATTTTTATGGATGATTAAAGAAACATTTAACGATCTCCCCCGACATGTATCTCAATAAGTATATGTCGTATTATTAGAAACAAAATCGTGTGTAATACACCTTATAAGAAACAACTTTATCCACGAAGTTTCTAGGATCTAATATCTACACACCTACGCTTTTCTTAACGCCAAAAGCAGCGTCTTCAAGAGGAAAGCAATTTGAAAGTCGGAACGGCAGTGTCACTCTGATTGATTCCAATTAGTTGCTTAATTGAACGCGAAAGGTGTCCGTGAGGACGGATTGACAGGCGACAGGCGTGGGGCAAGTTAAATCGAATCTAGATTTAATTTCTTGTCTCGGAAGATGTTAGATGTTTCGAGCATTTCGGGGTATGTCGTATGGCGGAGTTTCGTGCGGAGATAGTGATAGGTATGTGGCACTGGTTTAAAGTAGCTGACTGCTGTTGAACTCTCTTTTAACTTTTAAGCAGACTATTTTTATTTTATCAATAGTTTCATTCATGCTCACATAAATTAGGATTGATTGACGTATTCAATTATTTTCTTCTTGTTTTACTTCCTGTTTAACAGTTTTTTCAGGAAATGGCTAAAACTTCTGATTTTTAAATGGCATCCTTGGTTTGGTTTGGTCTGGTGTGTCTAACGTTGTATCCAGTGTTATATAGTCTGTCCAACAACCTAGAGAATATTTCGTCAGACAACATTCTAAAAATTACAGAAATTACAATTTGTCTGTGAATTCAAATGGCAGACCCAACTGTCACTGTCAGGGATACTGCCGTTGGACAAACCTATATATACCTAATATTGTCAACAAATGGAAATATTTCATTAAGTTTTAAAAAAAAGTTGATGCTTTTTTTTAAAAAATTGACATATGTTTTGGAATAACCGTCATACAAATTCAAAAATCCCCCTTTACACAAATGTTTTAATAACTTTGAAACTAAAAATTCATATATATTTTTTAATTTATTGGATTCACTCGTGTCATTCATACGAAAAAAATCAATTTTCTTTTTTAGCTATTTAGTCCATCCTGATTGGTACCTCATTAAAGTTTTAGATATTTGTAGTACCTATGTCGCACGACATTATAAGCAATAATGAAATTGAACATGTTGCAGAAAATCAGGGTTGTTAAGTAGTTTATGAAGCAAAAAACTACGCCAAAAACTACGCGTAGTTTTTTGTATTAATTACGTTTTAAAATTTTAAAAACTACCTTCAAAAACTACACAAAAACTACGTTAAAAACTACCTACAAAAATATAGTAAAACATACACAATTTAGACAAAAATCAAGCCAAATTCTTATCATGGAAGTATGAAGTTATATTATATTTGTAT